GGGCTGAGTCTGCCTAGAGGAGGTGGCATTTTCTAGCTTGTACAAAGGCACTATATGAGCTAAATCGACTAAGAGCTAAAAACTTAAGACTGAAATGGCTTTTTTCCCTTAGCATGTGAATAGCTAAGGACTTAAGATTTGTTTCTTTTTAAAATTTGTTTGAGTCAGTCTCACTCTGTTGCCCAGGCTGCAGTACAATAGCATAATCCCAATTTACTACAGCCTCAGCCTCTGTCTCAGACCATCCTTGCACCTCAGCCTCCTGAGTAACTGGGATTACAGGCACGCACCACCATGCTCAGCTAATTTTTATAATTTTTTTTATAGATACTAGATCTTGCTACATTGCCCAGACTGGTCTTGAATTACTGGGCTCAAGCAATTCTCTTGCCTCAGCCTCCCAAAGTGCTGGGATTATAGGCGTGAGCCACCATGCCCTGCCAGGGTTTGTATGTTAAGTTGAGAAGAATCTACTTGTATCAATAAGGGTTCCCCAGAGAAACAGAACCTCTAGGATGGCGAGAGAGAGAGAGAGAGAGAGAGAGAGAGAGAGAGAGAGAGAGAGAGAGAGAGAGAGACACGATTGACTTATTTTAAAGAGTTGGTTGACTTGTATGATTGTGGAAGCTGACAAGTCCAGAATCTGCAGGGCCGAGACCCAGCAGAATTCTTTTTTGCTCCAGGGAGGTCAGTCTTTGTTCCATCAAGACCTTCAACAGATTGGAGGATAATCTCCTTTACTCAAAGTCTTCTGATTTAAATGTTAATCTCATCTTTAAAACATCTTAGCCAGGTGCTGTGACTCATGTCTGTAATGCCAGCATTTTGGGAGGCCAAGACAGGAGGATTGCTTGAGTCCAGGAGTTTAAGAGCAGCTTGGGCGACATAGCAAGACCTGATCTCTATCAAAAAAATCAATAAAAGTTAACCAGGCATGGTGGCACACGCCTGTAGTCCCAGGTGAGGCGTAAGGATCACCTGAGCCCAGGAGTTTGAGGCTGCAGTGAGCCGTGATTGTGCCACTGCACTTCAGTCTGGGTGACAGAATGAGACACTGACTCAATAAAAAACACCTTCACAGAAACATCTAGAATAATGTTTAACCAAATATATGTGGCCTAGCCAAATTAACCCTCACACTACTGAAAAACGTCAATCCAGGAAGTAAGCTGGGCAGACTTGCCTTTAGAGGATGACCTTGGTGTGTGTGTGGTCAGAGTAGGGAGAAGTCATGGGAGACAGTAGTGCAGGCAAGGTATGCTACCCTGTTGTGCAGAGGGTGGGAGTGAGTGGAGGAGGCAGAGGGTAGGCCAAAAGCTATGTAGGAGGTAGACCCAGCCTGATTCTGTAGGCTTCTGAGAGTTCAGTTTAAAATGTGTTCACTAGTCGGGCTCGGTGGCTCAGCCTGTAATCCCGTGCTTTGGGAGGCTGAGGTGAGTGGACTGCCTGAGCCCGCGGGTTCGAGACCCACCCGGGCAACTTGGCGAGACCTCATCTCTACAATAAATCAAAAATCAGCCGGGCGTGGTAGCGCGCGCTTGTAGTTCCGGCTACTGGGAAGGCTGAGGCGAAAGGATCGCCGGAGCCCAGCAGGTCGAGGCTGCGGTGGCCGGGAGCGGCCACTGCATTCCAGTCTGGGTGACAGAGTGAGACTCCAACTCAAAAAAATAAAAAAATAAAAAACAAAATAAATTGTGTTCACTTTGGTAATGTCCAGAGAGCACTTCAGCTGGGGGATCTGGAGCCCAGAAAGGCTGGAGAAAAGGGCTTGCACCACTGCAGAGCTGGGGCTCTGGGACTGGGTGAGATCAATGGGAAAAATGTATAAAATGAGAAAAGGACCAAGGGGGTCGGGGGATGGAATTCTGGAAGCACTTAAGGAGTGCACGAAGGGTAGAGCATTATCATTACTCACGAGACAGAGTAATTTGTCCAGACATTGATTTCTTCTCTCCCCCACCTCCATTCACCCATACTTTTTCTCTGAATGGGAAGCAGAAGCTTCCTGAAGGCACCTGCCCTGAGCCTACTGAGACCAGGCCAAGTGTCCTGATGGGCAAAGGCAGAGATGTGGGACTTGGAGGGCCAGGAAAGAGAGCTTGAAACATGGACTGGGAATGGGAAAGAAAACTCTGTGTCCCCTGAGCATCCTGGTGGTGTCCTTAGAAGGTGACAGCACCTCCTCAGGGATGGGAGTTAGGACCTTGGGCTCTACGTTTCAAGGTGTCTGCACCCCACATGCCTAGGAAGCAGGACCCCCCAGGCTGCAAGAGACCCCTGCAGAGCAATCAGGCTAGAGCAACCACCAGGATGTGAACCCTTACCCTGAATTCTGGGCTCTCCCTAAGCCTTCAGGATTCTGCATTTAAAAAATGGAATTTTTTGCCATCCCAGTAGGTTGGGGCCCAGGACAAAATCCAATACAATAATTAGTATGTGTGGCAAACATGAGTATGGGGGGGTCCCAACAAAAAGTTTATTTTTATTACTTATTTATTTATTTCGTTAGTTAGTTAGTTTTAGTTGGAGTCTCACTCTGTCACCCAGGCTGGAGTGCAGTGGTACACTCATGGCCACTGTACCCTGACCTGCTGGGCTCAAGGGATTCTTCTGCCTCAGCCTCCCAAGTAGCTGGAACTACAGGCATGTGCCACCATACCTGGCTAACTTTTTTATTTACTGTAGAGATGAGATCTTGCCAAATTGCCCAGGCTAATCTGAATCCCCTGGACTCAGGCAATGCCCTCATCTCTACCTCCCAAAAAGCTAGGATTACAGGCGTGAGCTACCACACCCTGCTATAATTTATTTATTAAAAATTGTCTATTTATTCTTTCATGTTTAAACTTCAGTCACCTTCAAAGTACTCTCCGTTTGATGTAATGCACCTATCAAGATGCTTTTACCATGCTCAAAACAGCTTTTTAACTAATCAATTTTCATGCCTTTTAGCGCTTCTGCCATTTTTTTGTTTCACCTCTTTCACATGGGCAAAACGTTTCCCTTGGAGGACTTTTTTTCATCTGGGGAAACAAAAAAAAAGTTGTTCAGGGCAAGATCAGGTGAATAGGGAGTGTGGGTCGTGGGGATCATGCTGTTTTTAATCAAAAACTGCTGAACACTCAGCACAGTGTGCGCAGGAGCATTGTCATGGTGAAGAACCAGCTACCTGTTTGCCACAACTTGGGACGTTTCTTCCACCCATCATGACACAACCTTCTCAAAGCTTCCAGATAAAAACTTTGGCTGACCATTTCATCCAGAGGAACAGATTTGGAGTGTACTACAAGGGATCTGCCCTCCAAAAGATAATTCTGGTTTTGAGGGGGTCCGCCCTCACATGTAGGTTGAAATTTGTAGCAATACTGTTGTCTTTACGTACAGATGAAAAAACAAGCCCGGAGAAGCTACGTAACTTGGGTCAAGCCACACAAGTCACAAATGACTGCTGTGGAATTGAATATAGATCTCCCTGATTCCATAGTCCTATGCCTGTGGTTGAAAAACTTCACATACCAAAGGGACCCGACAGATAAAGAAATGAAGTGTGTCTGGTGCAAGAGAGTTCTGGTATCCAAACATCATCCTGTTTAGTTGGCAGCACTGCAACTCACACTTGGC